CTGTTAGTTGACACAGTTTCTTCATTGTGTCGATGCTCTTTATCATTTGGTACATTTTTGGAGTGGCTGGTACTGGTTGTTCCTTTCTGTGTTTAGTGCTTCTTTCAGGAGCTTTTGTAAGGCAGGCCTAGAGTGAAAAGAAATGAACAAAGCCTCCAAGAACTATGGGATTATGTGAAAAGACCTAATCTATGTTTGATAGGTGTACCTGAATGTGACAGAGAGAATGAATCCAAGCTGGAAAACACTCTTCAGGATCTTGTTCTTTTTTTTGCCTGAGTAGTATTCCATGGTGTACATATACCACATTTTCTTTATCCAGTCTACCATTTTCTTTATTCCATGTCTTTGCTATTGTGAGTAGTGCTATGATGAACAGATGCATACATGTGTCTTTATGGTAGAATGCTTTATATGCCTTTGGGTATACATCCAAAAATGGGATTGCTGGGTCAAATGGCACCTCTGTTTTAAGTTCTTTGAGAAGTTGCCAAACGACCTTCCACAATGGCTGAACTAATTTACATTATTATCAACAGTGTATAAGTGTTTCCTTTTCTCTGCAACCTCACCAGTATCTGTAATTTTTGTACTTTTTAGTAATAGCCATTCTGATTGCTGTGATACAGTATCTCATTGTGGTTTTGATATGCCTTTCTCTTAATTATTAGTAATGCTTGCTATTTTTTCATATGCTTGTTGGTCACATGTTTGTGTTCTTTTGAAAAGTGTCTCTTTATGTCTTTTGTCCACTTTTGAATAGGGTTTGTTTTTGGCTTGTTGATTTATTTAAGTTCCTTATAGATTATGGATATCAGACCTTTGTCAGATATATAGTTTGCAAATATTTTCAGCCATTCTAAAGATTGTCTGTTTTTTCAGTTATTTCTTTTGCTGTGCAGAATCTCTTTAGTTTACTTAGATCTCGTTTGTCAATTTTTGTTTTTGTTGCAATTGCTTTTGGTGTCACCACGAAATGATGAAACACATCCAAAATTGGAAAGGAAGAAGTTAAGTTTTCCTTGGTTGCAGATGACATGATTTTATATATAAAAAACCATAAAGACTTCAACAAAAAACTGCTAGAACAGAGAAACAAATTCAGTAAAGCTGCAGGACACAAAGTCAACATACAAAAATCAGTAATGTTTGTATACACTAATGAGGAAAAATCTGAGAAAGAAATTAAAAAAAAACTTTCAAAATAGCTATAAAAATAAAAATAAAATAAAATACCTAGAAATAAATTTAAACAAGTAGGTGAAATATCTGTACACTAAAAACTATAAACCATGAAGACAACACAAATAAATGAACAGATAGCCATGTTCATGGATTAGAAGAATTAATATTGTTCAAATGTCCCTGCTACCTAAAGTGATCTACAAATTCAATGCAATCCTTATTAAAAGTCCAATGTCATTTTTCACAGAAATAGAAAAAGCAATTCTAAAATTTGTATGCAATTACAATAGACTACGAATAGCCAAAGCAATCTTGAAAAAAAAAGAACAAGGCTGGAATCATCACTCTACTGACCTCAAAACATCCTACAAAGCTATAGTAATCAAAACAGCATGGTACTGGCATAAAAATGACATAAACCAATGTAAAAGAATAAAGGGTTCAGAAATAAGTCCACACATTTACAGTAAATTGATTTATTACAAAGGTGCTAAGAATACACAATAATGGAAGGACTCTGTTTTTAAATGCTGTTGGGAAAGTTGGATATCTATATGCAGAAGAATGAAATGATACCCTTATTTTACACCATATACAAAAATAAAGTCAAAGTTGATAAAGGCTTAAATGTAAAACCTGAAACTGTACAACTACTGGAAGAAAATATAGGGGAAAAGCTATATGACATTTGTTTGGGCAATGATATTTTGGATACGGCTCCATTGGGCACAGACAACAAAAGTAGAAATAGATAAATGGGACTGCATGAAAACCTTCTGCACAGCCAAGGAAACAATCAACAGAATAAAGAGACAATCTATGGAATGGGAGACACTATTTACACACATCTGATAAGAGGTTAATATCTGAGATATATAATGAACTAAATCAAACAATTCAATAGCAAGAAAATAAATAACCCAATTAAAAAATGGGCAAAGGACCTGAATAGAAAAAAAGAAGATACAGAAATGACCGACAGGTATATGAAAAATGCTTGACATCTTTGATCATCAGTGAAATGTAAATTTAAACTACAATGAGATATCAGCTCACAGAAGGTATAGAGTGCACAAAGATGTTATAATGGTTAGTTCCAAAAAAGAGAACAGATAACAAGTGTTGGTGAGAATGTGGATAAAAGGGAACTCTTTCATGCCATTAGTGGGAGTGTACATTAGTATACCCTTTATGGAAAATAATATGAAGCTTCCTCAAAAAATTAAAAATAGAACTACCATATTATCCATTATATTATTACTAAGTATATATCCAAGGAAAATGAAATCAATATGTTGAAGAAATATCTGGACTCCCATGTTCACTACTTGTAACAGCCAATATACAGAATCAACTTACATTCCATTAATGGGTAAGTGGATAAGGAAAATATGGTATATATACACAATGGAATGCTATCAGCCTTTAAAAAAAGAAAGATATCATGCCATTTGTGACAATATGGATGAAGCTGGAGGATATGATATTAAGGAAAATGATCCAGACACAGAAAAAACAAATACCACATAATCTCACTTATATGCAGAATCTAAAAAAGTTGAACTCAGAAGTATAGAGTTGAATGGTGGTTATCAGGGGTGGTGGGTAGTAGGGTGGAAGGCTGAGGAGATATTGATGAGAGAATTACAATTTTCAGTTAGGAAGAATTAGTTTAAGAGATCTACTGTATGAAATGGTTAATGCCTAGGTATAGTTAATGACTATGTATTGTATTTTGAAAATCTCTAAATGAATAGATTTTAAGTATTCTCAACACACAAAAAATTCTATGTGTGGTAATGCATATGTTATTTAGTGTGATAGAACCATTCTACAATGTATCCATATTTCAAAAAAAAGTTGTACACAATAAACATACAAAATTTTTGATCATTAAAAAAATTCACCATTCTATCTAGTACTTTGAATGGATCGTTTCCTCACACATGATTTGCTTATATCATATATTAGTCATTTGGAAAATATTGGTTAGCTGACTTGCAGCTTTTCTAAATGTTCATACATTTTATTATACAATATTATTTAAAAGTCACTTTCACTAATATCACCATCAATCTCTTCAAGAAAAGTCTTCAAATATTAAAACACTATCAAGCTCATGATTGCAGATACAAATTTTCCAAAAAGGCAAAATGAATTGCCTTGAAAGGTCAAATTTTTTCATGGAAAAAAATATTGTCAGTTGTTTTTTCTGAAGGGACAAGTTCGCTTCATTCTTTTTTGAGAAATGTTTGCCAATTCAAATAAGAAGAACCATCTGCCAGTTTATCAGTTGTTCTTCCAAGTAAAAATGGTGCTCCAAGTAATAAAAACAGTTCAGCTGTCAACTCAGTCATTTAAACGTTTTTCTTTAAGACCTCGGTATGTAGCAGACATGCTTAATGTGTAATTTCCACACCTCACACAGAATATTGATAAGCTATGTACTCAGAGATCGAGGTTTAGTAAAATTAACAATTTTTACAGCTTCATCAATAACTTCATATGTGAAACTGGCTTTTTCCCCCTTCTTTACTGTAAGTGCATGATGATGGAGAATACAATGACTATTAGTAAAATTTGATACTACTGCCTTGCTTCGTGCTAATGTGACAGCAGTGTTTCCACTACTGCTTTTGTGCCATAAAGCTAAACTTCAACATAGTGAATAAAATAACATTTTAGCGTATTGTGAAAATAGTACTGAATTCCCTGAAAGGATCGCAGGGACCCTCAGGGGTCTGTGGTTCCCACTTTGAGAACGATTACCTTAGATATTTAGCACGGTGCCTTCTGCATATTAGTTATTTCAGTACCTGTTGCTGAATAATGTTTGATTGTAACTTGGATTTAGATTTTGTTTGATTTACCATCCGATCAGGCATTTTATTTGTACCGAGTTACAGAACACATATCTAAATTAAAATGATTCAGAAAATAGAGCCTCAAAGTATTACTATTTAAAGTTCCTCCAAACTTAACTTTCTGCTAATGACAGAATTGGCATCTTTTTCAGTGGTTCACTGAATGGACAGGGCTGGTGTCTCAAAATTCTGGGAGTGATCTGTGCCAGGCTGCTGGGCATCACCTGATGATGAGTGGCCAGAAACTGCTTGGCTTGGCTGTGGCTGTGGCTGTGGTTAAGACAGGTTTAGAATTAGTTGTATTGGGAGCGCACGATACTCCTGTTTTTCCTCTTGTTATGTGCCATGTGAAATTTGTCAAAGTGCTGAGTTCCATACGCTTGGTAAGAAAGCGTGGGGTTCAGAAGTCAACCAGTACCATGCTCTCTAACTGCCTACATCAGAATCTCAGCTTGATTCTTCTCTGAGGTATGTAACAAAACATCCTTCTGAAACCTCTAAGAAACAAATGCCCTCCCTCTGTTTTCCTGTAGACACATACAAATTTATTTTAATGGGAGTCTTCTGAGCAGCAGCAACTAAAATCATGAGAAACTATTTGACCATAGTCTACTGTTGACTTTGATCACAAACTTTCCCATTTTTAGCCACATCCCCAAAGACAGCTAAGTGGTCAGTCTATAACGTTACTCTAAGTTAAACGGTACAGCAAGAATGAGTGGAGAAATAGTTTTCTTTCCCTTCCACAGGCTTCCATGTATACATAAACATCTCCTGTCTTACAGAATTTCAAGATAATACTTTACCGATTAAATCATGTTTTCTCAAATAAGAAATTATGAAGAATACAGCATGGACTTGTGGTATTAGGTCAAAGGAAAGTCTAATGATAAATGAGAGAGAGGGTGCTGAAATAGAAAAGTCAAAGCGTAAGGTGTAGTGACATCTTACCATTTTCCACTGAGTTTCATTTACTTCTTTGTATTGAAGTTCATACTCCAGAGCCATCCATCCTTTCTGAATATCTGCACTGAGTGGTGCTTCCCATCTCACTCGGATGTCTGCATGAACCCCAGTTAAACTGATGTTCAGTAAAGTCCAGTTGAGGGCAATGGGTGGATCTGGTTGCACTGTGCAATTCAAGAGCATTAGTACACAGGCAGACAGACACAAGTCGGTATTAATGGAAGGCATTCTTTTCAAAAGAACAAATTATTTTCTACATTTTTTAATCATTCATACTCTTATTTCTTCCAATATTTTTCTTATTATAACTTTCACTTTGTAAGAGAGTAACATTTTCTACTCAAGAATGGCCTTTTAACTTTTAAATAAGCCCTTAAAAAATTCCTTTTGGAGTCAAAAATCCAATCACTATTTTCAAGATCTGCCATATTTTATATTCCTTTTTGTTCTGATATCATAAATGCATTGGGATTTTGGCAAAGGAATTCATTTTCACTTGAAACTGAAAAGACAGAAAGACCTACAGAATTTAGTCATGGGGCTGCTTTGGAACTAGGGGTAGAGAAATCTTTTTTCTTTCAACCATGTATGGCCTGGAGGCAGAGACCTTGTTTTACTCATTTCTGTGTTGCCACTCATACAATCTTCCTGCACACTCTGCTAATGCTCCCTAGCTTTGTGGTCTTCCTAGCCATGTGTGATACTTTCTTCTGACTTAAGAAGGAAGAAGGTATTATGTTACTCTCTTAAATGGTGATGATTCAGTGTTTTCTGTCTTTTTTCAACTGTCATGTGAACAACTTGAAACATTGTTTTTCTCAGGTTCTATTGATATACTCTACATACTCAGGAAAATTTGCTGCATTCTGCTTATTAGGACCTCAAAGACCACAATTTCTCAGAGGCTGATGAAGAAAAATGTAGATTCCAAAGCTAGAAACTATATTTAAATTTATATTCTAGATAGTTCCCAGTAAATTATTGCTAGTTGGATCTCATTACTGAGGGTTTTGAAAATCACTTGCAGAAACAGAGTAAAATTTACTTTCTTTTTTTTGCCATATATAGAAGGTCACTTAGAGTGTTGCAAAGTGTGCATCCCTAGGGTTGACTGGAGAGAACTCTACAGATATACATCGTGAGCTCTTGCTGGCTGTCACATCTTGTGGCTAAAGGGGGAAGCTCTTGTGTGCACCAACAGTGAAAACAGACCTTATAGTGGAGGAGTATGCTGTTACCCACTGTGGGTTCGACACCACTTTTTTAAAAACAGGGAGAGTCAAAATTTGATGAATCATGACTACATTTTGAAAATTAAATTGGAAGGATATGCAAAATGGTCAAACTACATATGGCAATATAATGGCAGTAATTCCTCACCCTTCTGGATTTGTTGGGGATTCAGGAATCCCGAAAACAAAAGCTTAACCTTTTAAAGTGACCCAACTATAGAAATGTTTTTAAAGGAAGATTTTCTATAACTTATTACTTATGCTGCATTTGAAAAATAGAGGATATGCGACAAGGTCCTTTTGGAAAAGGCTAGGTACCACCATTACAGGCATAATAATGGCCTGTCCTTTACCATTATACATACATCCACATGCTGTATTGACAACCCCTGTGAAATATTTTAAAAATATCTGAAACTTAATATACCCCCAAACAAACCCTCGCTCTTCCTCTCCAAAACCTGCTCTCCTTTCCTCTTTCCCATCGCTGTTAACGAGTACTCAATTCCTATAGTTGTTCAGGATAAAAACAATGAACTGCTCCTTGGCTCATCTTTTCCTCATTAATCCTTATTCTGTCAGCTGTACTTTCAAGATATAACAGAATCCAACCACATATTACCACCTGCACCTCTATAACCTCGTCCTAGCCATTAACTTTTTTCACTCTTCTTGCTGCATTTGTCTCTCCACTATTCTCCTTTGGTCTTTGTCCCCTCCCGTCTATTCTCCAGGCAATCCTCAAGCAAACTGACACAGTGATTACTAACACCTACATTAGATCACATCACTCATCATCTAAAACCCTCCAAAGGCTTCCTACCTCACTCCAAGTGAAAATCAAAGTTGTTACAACGGTTGTGTGGATTTGACCATCCTGTCTGTGGAATTTGATCTCATGCCAGTCTCCTCACTCACTCTGTGCCCACTCCACCACTTGCTTGCTGTTCCTTGAGTGAGGAAAGGCATGCTCCTACTTTGGGATCTTTCCTCTGGCTGTGCCCCCTTGCTAAAATGCTGTTCCCTGAGACACACACATAATTATTCTCTCTAATTCTTCTTCATTCAGATGCCACTGACTCAGGGATGCCAATGCTGAAAACCCCATTTAACACTGCAACCTCTCCAACACTCCTATCTTCCTTTCCTGCATTTCTCCATAGCATTGTTGCTTTCTACCCTCACTGAGATCAAATCCCACCAGAGACGAAAGTTTCTATCCCCATCATAGAGAACACTGATTGGCCTGAGGGAAGAACATAATACATATTCGCTGAATGAATTGAATGAATGACAAATGTCTAACAAGCATAGTACTTTAAGTCCAGAGAACAGCCCTGTGAGGTAGTACCAGATATATGTATAACAGACGAGGAAGCTGAGGCTTGTAATGATTGACACCTTTCTCAAGATCTACTAGGGTTACCTTAGTTCTTTGTTCTCTTTCAGTCTCAGCACCTCCCCCCACAACAACTGTGCTAATTGTAACTGCCTGTCATAATCTTTTTCCTTGATCATCTCAGTCTTTTAACCTCTTCTACCTCTAGTCCATCCCACGCCAATCTATGTTCCACATTGCAACAAGATTATTTGCTCCGAGGCATTAATAATGCAACAAGTGGCACTGCATAGTCTCAAGAGTAAGAGCATGGATGCTGGAGGTTCAAATCACAGCTCTACCTACTAGCTGTTTGACTTGAACTAGTCCTTCAACTGCTCTGCACCTCGGTTTTGTTATCTGTAAAGTGCAGATTGCAAAAGATGGTTTTTATACCTGACATGTGGTAAGACTTCTGTGACTATTAGCTATTACTATCCTCAAGTCATTTACCTTTTTAAACATCCTCAAAGGTACCTTGTGACAGTTAAGTCCAAATTCCTTTTTGGGGCACAAAAGACTACTGATGATTTCTCCAGCTGACTAGGAGGGCTTCCTAACTGCTCCCGAGTCCTTGAACACGTGCTGTTTGCTACTGTTGGAATTCAGTAGTTACTGAAATGCACAGTCCACTGTGGTACCTGAAAACACTCACTCATGCTTTTGACCACTGCGGGTCACCACTTTTTTAAAAATAGGGAGAGTCCAATTCCTGTTCAGAGGTAACTAAACTGTCACCATCTCTGTGCAGCCCTTCCTCATCCTTCAGGTCTGGTCAATCATTCATGCATTTGGCCACCACCTTTGCAGCTCTGCATTCCACACATTTCCAGGCTAACACCTATCACACTAAACTGTAATTATTTGTGAACATGCCTGACTCCCCTCCTTGACTGTATCATACTTATTCCATAACCACCACCACCAGAACAGTGCCTGACACATGAGAGGTGCTCAGTGAAAGTCAGCCAGGTAAATGAGTAGGACAGGCTATTGGCAGAGAAGAGGGCTAGAATATGGGTTTTAAAACAGTATTCTTGCTACTATCCCATTCTGCTATCTCATCTAGTTTCAGCTCAACAGCCATATCCACTGATGTAAGGGCACATACTAAATTGCCTTTCCAAAGCAATCTGGTTACCTTTACTGCTTGATACAGTTTTCTTAGTTTTCTCCCTTAAAGTCAGGTTATTAGATTTTATTTGTTTCTATCTGTAACTTCTAGCCACATACTCGTATCTCTTCCAGTCTGCTGATGCCTAGAAAACCACATAAAAGAACAACACATTTGGGAGAAGCAACAAGGAATTCCTATAAGCAACAAATGAGCTTTTATGGATAGATTTTAAGGCACCAATTTCAGCTACACAAAGTCCTTCTTGGATTCTTTCGATTTTGCTATTGATACTATTATGGTATAAACATGAACATTCTAATTACAGTTGTTTGTTTTGCTTTGCTTTGTTTCCACCTTGTGTCCATCTGATGGGCAAAGGAGCCTCTCTTTGGATCTTTCACTTAGTTCACTGAGCTGATTGTCTCCAGTGTTTGTTCTGAGATCTTATAAACATGTCTTTAAAGTGACTGTGGCTGCTTTGCAAATGTAACACTCCAGAATGATTGGGCTTTGTCATAAAGCAAATCTAGGCTTTGATTATAGCAATGGTAGAGGTCAAAGGCCAACATATTTCAGGGAATCTGAATATAATCATCCTATCAAATAATTAGGAAATAAGAAATCCTAAGAATACATTAAGTTCACCCTTTGCAGTAGTAGATAAAAACACAACACAACTTCAAAGATATCCTAAAGGAAAACACTCCACAAGGTTCCTATTCTTTTCTTCACAACATTTACTGCCAGGCTGCTTTACATTAAAGTCAACTTAAGTTCCCCCGCCCTTTTCCTCTTGTTCACCAGCTGATCCCATCTCATGTAAAACAGATCTCCATGTACCTATAGAACATGGTTACGACCTCTTCCTTTTTGATCATACTTGGACATTGCAGGCTTTCCCATCTATTTGGTCTAAAACTATGGCAAATGAAACACAAACCTGTGATTTACCTATTTGGTTAACAGAGAAACACTTTTCATCCACTGTACCACCATTGCTAGTTAGCTTGATACAGTAAGGTATCCAGATGGAGGTAAACGATGAATTAAAGTAACAGCTGTTTTCCCCAGCAGAAACGTAATCAGGACATTCTTTCCATTCTTGAGTCTCTTCTTGAGGGTTCCTAAAAGGGAAGGTTAAAAAGATTAATTGTTCCAAAAATCATGCTTAAGTCTAAGTAAGTTGTTTGATAGTCTGATTTAATAAATTGGAACACAAATATTTTGTGAAGAGGTATTTTAGCAACACCATTCACGAGACGTATCACATTGGTGGACAATATCATCAGTGTCTAAAGATGGTTATGAGGCCATTTGGTACTTTTGCCTATGGAAAAAGCTTTTGTTTATTGAATGCTATGCCTGCTCTTAAATTGATTCCTATGGTAGGTACTTTATTATCCCTGTTCTATAGATGAAGGTTCTGAGACTTAGGGACATTTTAAAATGTTCATTAAAACAGTACAGAGAGTCACCCCACAAACTAGAGAATCCCAGAGAACAGTGAAAGTTTAGACCTGGCTGTTTCCCCAATCTATGGTAGAAGAAACTGAGGAGACAAACTGATGTGTGCTCCAGGCAGAGTGATGCATTATATCCAGCACCAACACTGTGCAGATATAAAGATAAGTAAGATTTGGTTCCCTAATTTCAGGCTAAAAGAAGACTCAGAAATTCCCATCTGAGTAATTTTTTGGGTCTCTCATATTCATTCCATTGATATTTAATGAGAATTAATTATGTTTAGAACATGATGCCAGACACTATGGGGGATTCATAGATGTTTAAGGAATTCCTCCTGCATCAGAAGGAAGGAGTAAAAAATGGTATTATACAGTAATATGGGTAAATGCTCATCAGTAGTGCTCTTTAGGTCCCTTAAAAGTTCAGAAGAGGGAATGATTGCTCTGGCTCTTCATGGAAGGCTTCAAGGTGGAGGTGTGTTTTAAGCATTCTTGAAGGATGGGTAAAAGTTTAATAGATGGCAATACGGCAAGGAAGGGAGGAAACGGAGAGGTTAAAGGGATTAAGGTAAGGAAGTATGGGCATGACTGTGCTATGGGGAGCAAGAGGCAATGGAATGACAGGAAAATTTTCTTAAATTAGAATTGCCACTTGGGTGAGGTAATTCATTATCCCCCTATAATTCAGTAGCTTGTTAGTTGAGAAGATAATTTATAAGTCAAAGGGACACAAAGCCATGGAATCTGTGGTTGTGGAAGATGAGGTAGGAATGGCCCTGTGCAGGCAAAGGCACCAGTGGCCCTTAGGCCAGACTGTGGAGGTTTGGGACCATCCCTCTGTGGGATGGGTGCTGGGCAGCAGTGGACAACAAGGACACAGCAGGCTGTGGGGAAGGCAGGGCCTGGAAGGAAGGGATGCAAGGCTGGAAGAAGATGCATATTTCCTTCTTATAGCTATTTCTCAGGCTGGCCTGCTTGGTACTAGGAAAAAACTTGTGTCGTATCAGGGGGTCCTTGAGACAGCTGCTCCTCAGCTGTTGGAAGGAAATTGGGATTAAAATGGCAGAGACTCCAGGGTCTGAGATAGTGAAATGCTGCTTTGGTTGAGATTCTTAAAAGTTGCATATGCTGGCCGGGCACAGTGGCTCATGCCTGTAATCCCAGAACTTTGGGAGGCTGAGGCAGGTGGATCATGAGGTTAGGAGTTTGAGACCAGCTTGGCTAACATGATGAAGCCCCATCTCTACTAAAAATACAAAAATTAGCTGGGTGTGGTGGCGTGTACCTGTAATTCCAGCTACCCAGTGAGCTGAGGCAGGAGAATTGCTTGAACCCAGGAGGCAGAGGTTGCAGTGAGCCAAGATTGCACCACTGCACTTTAGCCTGGGCAACAGAGCAAGACACCGTCTAAAAAAAAAAAAAAGCTGCATATGCTTGAATGAGAGACAGATTCACCTGTGATGCAAAAAGTAAGTGGGAAAAGGGCAGAAGAAAAGATAAGGTGTGTTTGTGTGCATGTGTGTGTATGTATGTGTGTCTATATTTAGAGTCAGAAGAAAAATATTAAAAAAATTAGGACCAGGTAGGTGGTTCATTGAATTATAGTATGCTTAATTTGATATTTAATTTCAAACTACATAAGCATGCATTAAAGAGAGTAGTTGTAAGAAGATTACCCAGAAAATGAGGCTTTCACACAGTAGAGGGGATATCAAATGTATTTAGCATAAGTGATAGTAAAAAAGTTAGAAAACTCAAAGTATTAAGATGTTCCAAAGATGTAGATAGTGCTTAGCAGGTTTGGATTTCTAAAAGGAGATTAGCTCTTTCATGTTTTACAAAATTTCTCAACAGTGGCATGTCAGTACCTTGATACTCATTAGGACTGTGTAAAAAACTGTTTAGATTACCCCAAATCCATGAACTCCACAGGACAAACAAAGTGTTTATTTTAAGCATGATGGATCAGGAACAGCTAGTTCAAAACACAACTTTCAAACTTTTTCTTCATGAACCGATATTGAATTTTGTTTTAAATAAATATTTAAAACATATATTTTAAACTCTTAAATGTAGACAATAACCAAAATGAGCTCATGAAACAGATACTGTGTCACCTGTCTTCACTGGGTTGAATGTCTCTACAGATGACCAAAATCAATTTATGGAAGTTACCCTCTGCTCTTACTCCCAAAAGTTATGTGGTTTAGGTTTGCTCCCAGACTATCTTGTGAAATGGAAGGAGTAAGAACCATAGAAAGAGACTATTAATAAAAATAAGAATAAAGAGCAGACTAAACTTCATTTAGTTTTTCATCTAAAGACAACCAATTAGAAAAGAAATGATAAAAATAAAACATCATTTATGTTTTAAGAGCAGCTGTTTTTATGACAGAAATCTCATGTGTTTTTGGCTTTAAATTTAACTCTTTTGTTTAAGAAAAATAAAAGTAAGAGTGCCCTTTATCCCTACTAATTTTCCACAGAATCTTGCATAGAAAATGAAATTTTTGAAGGGGGTCGAATGGGTATGGAAGAGGTGGAGAATACAGCCTTAAAGACTGAGTGTTCATATGCCCACTTTCTTTAAAAACACAGCATTTACATGCAAGGAACTGAGAGCAGAGCAGCTCCAACATGCTTCCCAGAGCCTCCTTTTGCCATGCCTGTGATTTGCATTCATCCTGAGTGCCCCGCAAGCTCAGAGGCTGAATTTGGCACTATTGCCATCACAGGATGGCAGGGACTATTTTGGGTCAGCTGCCCTAACATGTGGAGGCTGCCTCTTCTGCCAGCTATCTGGCAAGGGGCAGAGCCAGGCAAAACACCCATCTGCCTGTAGGGCTGTGCCTGAACTGTCCTGTTGACAGTTTGACATATTCACATTCCGTTGTGCTTTAGATACTCAGGCCAGTAAACTGAAACAACTGCACCGCCCTTCTCTGCTCCTTTCCGCCTTCGCTGACTCTGGTTTTGGATAAAATCCTCTCACAGTTTTATTTCTGTGTCAGGATGCGAGGCATATTTCTATAGTTTCAGGAGTTGCCTAGCAACTGAGTTCTAAATAACAATGACAAGAGTCAGAAAGTGCATTTGTATTGTCCTCTTTATGAAGTGGGCAATGAGAAGTCAAATTTATTTGTATACTCATTAGTCTATTCCAATCCTGATCCTCCTAATCCCTCAGTTCTACCCTTCTCAGGCAAACTGGGCTGTGGGCTTATGGTAGTTTGGCTAAGATATTCAAAATAGTTATATATATATATATATTTTTTTTTTTCCATTTATTTATTTTATTGCATTTTAGGTTTTGGGGTACATGTGAAGAACATGCAAGATTGTTGCATAGGTACACACGTGACAGTGTGATTTGCTGCCTTCCTCCCCATCACCTACATCTGGCATCTCTCCCCTTGCCATCTCTCCCCAGCTCCCCACCCCCCACCATCTCTCCCCTATTTCCCCTCAACTGACCCCAGTGTGTAGTGCTCCCCTCCCTGTGTCCATGTGTTCTCATTGTTCAACACCCGCCTATGAGTGAGAACATGCGGTGTTTGATCTTCTGCTCTTCTGTCAGTTTGCTGAGAATGATGGTTTCCAGGTTCATCCATGTCCCTACAAAGGACACAAACTCATCGTTTTTGATGGCTGCATAATATTCCATGGTGTATATGTGCCACATTTTCCCTGTCCAGTCTATCATCAATGGGCATTTGGGTTGGTTCCAGGTCTTTGCTATTTTAAACAGTGCTGCAATGAACATTCGTGTACACGTGTCCTTATAGTAGAACGATTTATAACCCTTTGGATATATACCCAGTAATGGCATTACTGGGTCAAATGGAATTTCTATGTCTAGGTCCTTGAGGAATCGCCACACTGTCTTCCACAATGGTTGAACTAATTTACACTCCCACCAACAGTGTAAATGTGTTCCTATTTCTCCACATCCTCTCCAGCATGTTGTCTCCAGATTTTTTAATGATCGCCATTCTAACTGGCGTGAGATGGTATCTCAATGTAGTTTTGATTTGCATTTCTCTGATGACCAGTGATGATGAACATTTTTTCATATGTTTGTTGGCCTCATATATGTCTTCTTTTGTAAAGTATCTGTTCATATCCTTTGCCCACTTTTGAATGGGCTTGTTTGTTTTTTTCTTGTAAATCTGTTTCAGTTCTTTGTAAATTCTGGATATCAGCCCTTTGTCAGATGGGTAAAAAAAATTTTTTTCCCATTCTGTTGGTTGCTGATTCATTCTAGTGACTGTTTCTTTTGCTGTGCAGAAGCTGTGGAGTTTGATTAGGTCCCATTTGTCTATTTTGGCTTTTGTTGTCAATGCTTTTGGTGTTTAATAGTTATATTTTATAGAAAAAAACACAAAAATGTAATTTTGTAAGTTTGAGTTGGCACTTAATCATAAGGTTGTACTTATTCCCCTGGGACTCCAAACACTACCAGTGCAAAAACTAGGACATCCTTCTGAATATGTCTGAATTTTTCCCTCTACCCAGTCACGCCTTCAGCAGCTTCCTTGCTAGTATAGATCCTGGGTTTGAACCAGGGATGCTTAAATGACTGGGATACACATAAGATGCCTGTAGATAGCTATATGGCCCTGATTGATGAGGACAAGGGACATATGTTTATGAAATCTTCATTCCTTTGGATTTCTCTTTTTGCTAATTTCAAATTTGGTAAATATAGAGGTAGCAAAAAATTATTTTCATAAAGTAGACCCAGTTTAAGAGGTTATTCTGCTACTTTTCTCTACAGTTTGGCTAATTGTGCTTGTACAAATTGAGCTGGCTCTCTGAGGTAAAGCATGAAAATTGCACCAAGTCTCCTTCTCTCTTTTTATTTACAAATAACATAATGAATTCTACCCATTTAAAAAGTGTTATCAAACATACTAGCTTCATGTCTGAATGTATTTATAGAAATCAACTTTGTTTACTGGCCCCACTCTCTCTGTGGTGTCAGCCTTAAGGAAACATACAATATACTTGGTGCCCAAACACTTCATCTTCACTTCACTTCATCTAAGAGACCTCTCTTACACTGAAAGGTGGGGAAGGTCCTCAAAGTATTTTTATCTCCAAATTAAGTTGCAGCTCTGTAATAAAATGGCCGTATACCAATAATTACACTAATTATAATAATTTATAGGTATAAATGGTCTTATACCACTTATAGTCATCTTTATAGTCCAGGAACTGGAATTATACATCATAATTATTTAAAATTATCACTATAGTACCAATAATAAGAATACCAGCTACCATTTACTGAGTACTTATTACGTGTTAAGTACTGTGCTAAGTATTTTTCATGAGTTATCTAAGACAATCCTCACAAGAAGCCATGAGGCGAGTCCATTATCTCCTTTTTGCAAATGAGGAGGCTTAGTTGTTCACAAACTGGTTAATTTCTCAAATATTCCTTGGTGAGAAAGTGCAGAACTACACTGAAGTACAGGTTTGTTGGCTCTGAGCTCATATCCCTAAGTGCTGGCTGCATCTTCCTTCTCTTTCCCAGCTCCTCTATGGGATAGACAACATCGTCCTCTGACTAACGAACGACTTGAGCCAAGGATAAAGGGTCCTCACTAACCCTGCATCTTGGCTTAGGTCTTCTCTGAGTTGGGTGGGAAAGAAGAGATAATGAAGAGTTTAAGCCTAAAATGTAAAAAAAGTAAAAATATACAGAATAAGAGTAAACAAAAACGAAAATAATACCAGGTGAAGGGGAAGAAATAAACAACTTGGGTGGTACCTATATTGAGAGGTCTTTGTTTCATCCTTCCTCTGCTATTTTAGAGGGTTATTGGTAAAAACAAAAAAGTACTACAGTCTTTTATTAAATATATTTAAGAGACATAGTGCATTATCTGCCCAGAAATCAAGTTGCTTCTATAAAACATACATCTTTTCAAAAAACACCTACAGTTTTCCACCAAAAATAAAGTAAAATTCAAAGCCTTGCCCTTGCCTACGAGCTTTGGCATAGTCTGTCCCTACGTAACTCTCTGATTCTTTCCCACATCACTATCCTCACTTCAATCTTGCGCCTTCAGTGCTAGCCTTTATCTTCCCTCAAATATGCCAAGACTGCCTTAGGGACTCTGTATGCAATTTCCTCTGCCTGGATAGCCTTTCCCCCAGATATTCATGTGGCCGGTCCCATTTCACTTATGTCTCTGGTCTAGGGCACCATAATAGAGAGGTCTCCTAGGACCACCCATTTCAATATCATGCAAGCCTCTTACACACACTCTCATCCACATGCATATGCCCATGTGTATCCATACACACTCTCACCCACACTTTGACACACTCTCACACACATACACACACTCCCACACACTGCTGATATGCTGCTTTCTGGCTTTATTTTTCTTAATAACCTATATTACTAGCTGACATTTTATTCAATTTTTATTGTCTGTCTTCCTGTGTTGGAAGGAAACTTCCCTTAGACCAGGGATTTTGTCATTTTGTAATCACTGCTATATCTCCAGTGCCTAAAATAGTACTCAGCATATAGGATGGTCTTGATTAATATTTTTTTCAATAAATGAGCGAATGATACTCATTAATTACATAAATCACAACAAATCACTTCCATTCCTACACTACATGTGACTCAGTGTACTTTAGTAGGTACATCCATAGAGAGGAAAATCAGAAAGGCATGAAGGTAGCACCTTCTAGTATAGAACAGCTGTATGGGTCCTGGACTCTTTAAACCATGATGAACTGCATCTGTCCAGTGGCATGAAAAAGTCTCTAGCTCAGGTGAACGGCACTTGGTGAATTTAGGCTTCTTAGAAGAATCTGCAGAATGAAAAGAAAAGGCAAGACATGAAATCAGGTGGGTTATATATGATCCTAATGAGACACATATTTAAAGTGTGTAAAGAAACTACTGGGATGAAGCCAACATTTTCTGTGTCTAGGAGGTAATGTTGATGTCTTCCAGAAAAGTTTTTTCCTGGGTCATAGTTTTAGAGCCTGTTGCTTGCCAGTGTCAGCCCTTGATCCTAGAGACAAACCATTTTGTCTTTTATTTCAAGCATTTCTTAGGGCCTGTTTAAGAAACCAGAGCTAGCAATAAGGATGTGGATATAGGTAGTTCATCTGGAAGATGATTTCTGGAACTAGGAGTGAGGGAATGGGGACAGTGGGAAGGAAAGGGAGAACAACTAATTTGTGTGTGTTACTGAGCTAGTTATTACAGTGGCTAATGGGGTCCAATCCCACTGAGGCTCCTCTGAGAAGCTGTGTAGAATATACACCACCTTTGTTGTGCAGAAAGATGAGAGGTTAGGACATTTACCTGCCACTCCCAATACCCACTGGTTGAAGTGTGCCTCAGCGATGTTCACCCCTGTGCAATTCTAGGCTGTACCTGCACATGAGCTGAGGGTCTTTGCTGAGGCAGGCACCTAAACACTCAGGTACACAGTGGCAAGACGCATAGTGGCAAATGGACACTGTAGATGATTGTGCTGACATCAGGTAGACATGGGGGATGTAGCATGGGAACCATAGCTTTCACTACAGGGCCATTTTTCTTTTCATGATTTTTGATCCCTGTCTTCCCTTGTTCACAGCCTTATGTATTTCCTTCCTTTGAATAACTTGCTTTTAATCAAAAGAATATGGCAGCATGGAGCAGATGTCAGTTCTATGATGAGGTTATAAAAGATTGAGACTTCTTTCTAACTAGCAGACTGACCCTCTTGCTGACTTTGATGAAGTAAGCTGCTGTGTGGTGAGACCCATACAGCACAGAACTAAGGGTGGCCTCTGGCCAACACCCAGCAAGAAGCAGAGGCCCTCAGTATAAAAACGCTTGAGGAACTGAATCTTGCCAACAACCATGTAAATGAGCATGGGAGCCAATCCTTCCCTATCCAGCCTTCAGATGAGACCACAGCTGTAGCTGACACTTTGATTGCAGTCTTATGGGAGAGCCTGAAGCACGGGACAGAGCTGGTGGCTTAACTTGGAAAAAAGGGCAAGAGGTAATTAACTTTACTAAATATTTGAATGCTATTAACATAGAGTAAATGAATCTAATATATCAGAACTTGAAAGCAGTGCCCAAGAATGACATAAGCTAGTTTTCTCAGTAAATGGAATATATCACAGTGAGTGTGAGAAAGTGGGTAACACTTTTTTTGGAGACAAAAAGAACTATATTGTGGCTGGCCGCTTAGTTCCTCCTTAATTACCTCTTGTCCCATCTAGTACCATTGTGCCACTGTGGCTGAAGCATTCCTAAAATCCAACTCCTTAGTGTCATCTTAAGGCTTTCTGAGAGGAACTGCCATAATCTTAAAATGAGCACCTTTTTCACTATGTCTAAAAATCCTATTAGAATCTTACTTTTTTGTTTCACTACGAAGACAAAAAATGACTATCATAGACTCTCAGGTCTTCTCTGATAAGTCAGGAACAGAAAATCATTTCTGAACTAGTAATATTTCTTGCTTTCTTATGATTTTTAAAGGTTAAGCCTAAAGACAGTGTAATTCAACATCTGTTTATAGCACCTCTGAAAGAAATTTTGCAATTAAGGGAGCCTATCTTTGTCCCTAAAAGAATTATTACTAAGGGCAATGAGTTAAGTTGGAATACTCATTTCTGTTAGTGATAATGCTGATGAAATATAAGCATTAATGCTGCTTGGCACTCAAAAATCTAGGCAACAGCTTTGGGATTCATTTTCATTTCTTCTTTGGAGACTTAATTTTAAAAATAAGGATTTTGATTTGTAGTGATATCTTTAGTTATTATTACTATGTCCTATCATATTATGTACTACATCATATTGAACACTTTGCACATATGTTCTCATTTAATACTGACCTCTTTAGAAGGTGGGTCTTATTTCAATGTAGAAATGGGTGAAACTAGAGGGGAGATAAGTGAGTTTCCCACCTTTACAAAGGTAGCAAAGATGGGATTAAAACACAGGTCCATGTGATTTCAAGCTAAGCTCTTTGCACTAGCAAAAAATAGTAGCTATTTTGTTCCCCAATCTCTCTTCCTTCTCAAAAAATTCCCACAAGAGAAATGATGAGCTCACATGTTCCCTTAATCAACACTCAGAAATTAGTAGCCTGGCATGTCCCAAAAGCAACAATTCCCAACTGTAAGTGCACATTGGAATCAAGGGAGAAGTTTAAAAAGTACTGATGCCTTGGTCTGCTCCCAGAGATTTGAATCAACCTGGGATGCAGGCTGAGTACTGTGATTCTTTTAAAGTTCCCCAGGTGCTTGCAAAGCATAGCCCATGTTGAGAACCACTACTGTAGATAAATAAAGTTAGATGTAAGACCGAGAAGGTGGCTTTCCATATTGTTCGATTCCATGATCAATTCTAGCAGAGATGTGTATCAGGAGTGAACATGTGGTGTGAACTCCCAAGAGTCTAGTTCAGGAGGGTTTGGGAAGGATATGATGAATATTGTCACTTTAGAAGAGTACAATGATGTTTTATAATGAATGCTTGAAGAGCTAAGATATTTTAACTACGTGTGCAAAGTAGTATATCCAACTGATACTTTTGCCTAAACTGATAGACTATAAACTGGCAATAAGAATTAATTAATTAAGAAGTTGTGGCCTGGATTATCATGGCAGATAGGAGGCAGGACTAGATTGCAGCTCTGGATAGAGCAGCATGTGGAGGCTTGCATTGTTAATTTAAGTTCTGGATTGACTGTAAGACCAAACCAGCAATCCTGAGAGGACCCACAGACACTCTCAAGAAAGTGGACTGCTCCTGTAGGACCTGGCAGACAACCCAAATACTGTGAGTGCCCCAACTGTGGAAGTGAGAAAGAGACCTTCCTCTGCTGAACACACCCCCCCACTGGAGAAACTGAAGGTGTGTTTGTGGGGGAAGTTTCCGATCTTACCTGAAGCTGAGTCAGTTTAGAGAACTGAGCAAAATACAGAAGTACAAGCAGCAGAAAGGCCCTAGGAGCTCGCTGGGTCTCCAAGAAGCCCACTCTGGTCTGGTACCATGGGGATACATAGAGAAGGTGGCAAGAGAAGCAGGGGGTAAAACTCCACAGGGAGAAGAAAATCTCTAGCTGAACTTTGTAACAATTTGAATGGGGCAGGAAGCCTCCTGGCCAGAACTAGGGGGAGGGCAAAAAGCTAGTGTACATATTCCACAAGTAGGGGAAGAACCAAGCCCTTTCTTTTGCAGCTGGGAGGCAGGTAGCCTGGGGCAAGTTTTCAAACCCATCTTGCCCACTACCTGGAAATAGACTTGGGGCTGTCATGTGAGGCATGGTGGGAGTGAGATCGGCCCTTTGGTTTGCTTGGGAGGTGGGTGAGGACTGTGACTTCTGGCTTTCTCCCACTTCCCTGACAACCTTCATGACTCAGCAGAGGCAGATATAATCCTCTTAGGTATGTAGCTCCAGTGACCTGGGAATCCCACCCCCATTCCCTACAGCAGCCCCAGCAAGACCCACCCAAGGAAAGTCTGAGCTCAACCACACCTAGCCCTGCCCCCACCTGATGGTTCTTCCCTATCTACCTGATAGCTAAAGTCAAAGAGTATATAATCTTGTGAGTTACAAAGCCCCACCCACCACCTGTTCCTCTCCATACTACCACAGCTGATGCTATCTGGAAAGTGCCACCTCTTGGCAGGAGGCCAACCAGCACAAAATGGAGCATTAAACCACCAAAGCTAAAGTCCTTTGCACTCCACCCACCACCATCCCACTGGAACAGGCACTGGTATCCATGGCTGAGAGACCTGTAGATGGTTCACATCACAGGACTCTGTGCAGACAACCCCCAGTACCAGTCCAGAGCTAGGCAGACTCACTGGGTGCCTAGACCCAGAAAAGAGACAACAATCACAGCAGTTCAGCTCACAGGACGCCATATCCATAGGAAAAGGGGAAGAGTACTACATCAAGGGAGCACCCTGTGGGAAAAGAATTTGAACAACAGCATTCAGCCCTAGACCTTCCCTCTGACAGAGCCTACCCAAATGAGAAGGAGCCAGGAAACCAACCCTGGTAGTATCACAAAACAAGGCTCTTTAACATTCCCCCCAAAATCACATTAATCCACTAGCAATAGACTCAAACAAACAAACAAAAAAATCCCTGATTTACCTGAAAAAAAATTCAGGAGGCTAGTTATTAAGCTAATCAGGGAGGCATCAGAGAAAGGTGAGGCCCAATGCAAGGAAATCCAAAAAAACAATATAAGAAGTGAAAGGAGAAATATCCAAAAAAATAGATAGCTAAAAATACCCCACAAAAATTCAGAAAACTTTGTACACACTTAAAGAAATGTGAAATGCTCTGGAAAGTCTCAGTAATAGACTTGAACAAGTAGAAGAAAGAAATTCAGAGATTGAAGACAAGGTCTTCAAATTAATGCAATCCAACAAAGATAAAGAACAAAGAATAAGAAAATATGAACAAGCCTCCAAAAAGTCTTGGACTGTGTTAAACGACCAAACATAAGAATAATTGGTGTTCCTGAGGAAGAAGAGAATTCAAAAGCTTGGAAAACATATTTGGGAAAATAATCGAGGAAAACTTCCCTGGCCTTGCTACAGACCTAGACATCCAAATATAAGAAGCACAAGGAACACCTGAGCAATTCATCGCAAAAAGATCATTGCCTGGGCACGTTGTCATCAAGTTACCAAAAGTTAAGATGAAGACAAGAATATTAAGAGCTGTGAGACAGAACCACGAGATACCTTAAAAAGGAAAACCTGTCAGATTAACAGCAGATTTTGGTTGGGTGCGGTGGCTCACGCCTGTAATTGCAACACTTTGGGA